AGAACACCTCTTGCTCATAGCTTGTGTTCTTAACAACTGTACTCCACCAGGACAGTGCATTTTTTTTTAGTAATATGATTGATAAATATAAAGTATAAAGTTGTTCCCTCAAGATACACTGTCAGTTTGTATTCATGATGCTTCCCCATCTGATCATTTTCCTCGAAGATTTATTCTATCTTTAGTATGTCTATATCCATCCCAGAGAAGAATTGTTCAGTACTGTAAAGTGTACCAGGAGGCAGAGCTGCGTTTTCTCATTCTCTGTCAGATAGATTTCTCTACATTTTCCCAGATAAATCGTAGAGCAGACCCTTAACTATTTCAGCAAAGCATCTTCCTTCCTCCTGTAAAATATTGCTGGAGTTCTCGGTGACATCACCATCCATTTCAGAAGGAGGATGCAGATATTTCATGATCTATAAGTATCCTCCACTGAGCTGATGCAGCCTTCCTTGTAGGTAAACCTCAAGCATATATAGAAGAACTTCTGATGTGCAATTACCATTATAAATGACCTTTTCTCCCAGAGAAATATTGCATTGGCTGTTGCCAGCACTCACAAAACATACTAGGCTATACCTGCATGACTTGTGTGGTATGTGGTCTGCAGGTATACCTGTGGTTTACTGGGATAAATCTACAGGTTTAGTGTAACTGTGTGTAGAGCACTCACAACAAAGCAATGGAGAGTCCTTTCTCATTTATTGTTATGGAGAAATTAAGTCGTCACCTGCAAAGTTAATTAATTTTCTAATTGAGTAAACCATTGGTTGTCTCAGCCATAATCGAGCAAGGAAGCAACATGGTAGGCAAATCTTAAACTGTATTTTTTTCCTGCAAAATGCAGTTCGGTGTTGCTTACTGTGATATTTGCTTTTTGAAAGAGCTGAAGTAGAAACTGCCTGGTGATTCACAGATATATTTAGGTCTGTTCTAAATTTATTGTTTAGAGCTTTGGCCCCAGAGCGCAAAGTTTTTGCCCTACGTAGTAAAAATAAAAATGGCTTACAAAATGAAGTAAAGCTATAGAATACAAACAAATTTATTAACCAATTAATCTTAATCAAGTATTAAATAATAACTACTAAACAATAAATATTAGGGTGGGGGGAGGTACCATCTGCCTTGAAGGAGGCAATGGTGTGCCCCTTCCTTAAGAAGACCTCCTAGGATCCAGAAGTGTTAAACAACTATCATCTAGTGGTAAGTATTTCCTTTTTTGGCAAGGTGGGGCTGCCTCTGGATATGGTTCAGAAAATTCCGCTGGTGCAGAATTCAGTAGCCAGGTTGCTCACTGAAGCAATATAGTTTGAACATACAATGCCAATCTTGACCCAACTACACTGGCTTTCAGTTGGTGTCTGCTGGTTTTGACTTATAAAGCCTTAAGCAGCTCAGGAATGCAATTCTTCAAGAATCACCTCTTCCCATATGAATGGATCCAGACCCTGTGATCATCATCTGAGGCTCTTTTAAATGTGTCTCCTCTGTGAGAGGTTTGGAGGGTGGCAACACAAGGGTCTTTTCTGCAGTCTGTGAAATGCTCTAGCCTGGGAGGCTTGCTAGGCCCCTTCATTACTTATCTTTAGGCATTGGGCGAAAACCTTCATCTTCTTCCATGCCTTTGGCTAATTAAACAATCTATGGCCTTTTGAACTTGTATGTGGGTGGGTGGGTGGGTGGGTGGGTGGGGGTGAGGGTTATTATTTTTGTTTGTTATTATGCTAAGTATTATTGTGTTATATTGTAAACTGCTCTGTGATCTTCAGATGAAGGACAGTATAAAAACCAAATAAATAAATACATAAATCAATATTTGTTCTGCAGGAAGTCCCACTGAGTTCATTGGGGTCTAATTCTGGGTACTTGTGTTTAGGAGTTCAGCTTTAACCCGCTGTCAGGGAACTGCCATCGGAAGGACAGGAGGTGGAAGGGCTCACTGAGGTTGAGAGAGATTCAGCAGCTGAAGAGGGAACCAGTAGGGGGAGAGGAGGAACTCCAAGGGAAAGTGAGTCGGAGGGATGGCTCAGAGACACTTCCAGCGAAAACAGTGGGGAGGTTTCAAGACCTCCTATAGGGACACCCACTCCTCGCCGGAAACTGTCGCGCCGAGAGTCCAGAAGACGTGTTTCTGTTAAGGAGCTTTTATGCTGGAAGAGATTCCGTAAGCGACCACTTTCGGATTCTGCTAGCGACTGACAGAGCCATGCTTGAGGGGCTCCGTCGTAGGCAGAGGTTTGCGGATTTGATCAAACTCTGAGGGACTAGGATTTTACGCACAAGCAGCTCATCATCCCATTTCACCCGCCATCATTTTAAAAAGAAAACAAACAAACAAACAAACCCCACTTAAATACATTACAGGGAAATCATATTGATTTAACTGAATCTTCCTCTACCTTTAGGATTTGGAAATTTATCAAAAGACATTTGATGACACTCATGAAGGTGCTTGAAATCTAATTTATTTATTTTATGAAAGATTTTTCAAATGTCATTTTAAGAACCGAGTTTGACATGCTTTGTTCTCAAACTTTAATTCATGCTGTGAATTTCCTAATGAGCTAAATTTCATACTGGCATCCAGCTGTGTCTGTCTAGTGTCAACAAAATAATTGTTCAGTAAAAGTGACTTGGATATTGCTTGTTGGCTGCTATTCAAATGACAGAAATGTGCAGATTCTTGTGTGAGTGCTTTGCAACCTGTTGTCGTCTTTTTGTTTAAATGGATTTGAGATCACAGGGTGGTCTGAGTTTCTGAAAAATGAATGGCGATTAATTATTTCAGAAACGTTTTTAGTGAAATGAAAGAAGATTCACAACCTGCATGGGCCTGCTCTCATTCCTATTGTTTGTGAGTTATAAAATTACTTTGTTCTCCTAGAAGGAGAAGGAAGCTCAACCAGCAACTGCTTCTAATCAGCTCCAGTCACCGTTCACTAGTGTAGGTGAGAATGAAGCCTTTGTGATTGTGATATCAAATAACGAGGAGGTGATGTTGATATAACAAATTGGTTTTGAGAGTAGGTTTCGATTCAACTATTAAGTTTAATAACCTTTATGGGTTTAACAAGGTAGTGTTCATACATAAACTCAGCATGTATTGGAACATTCAGAAGATGTGTTCCTCTTGACAAACTCCACACCCATCATCTTAGGTCACGTTATGAGGATTTCACTGCATAACCACCTTGAGGTGGTTATGTTCATTGGCTCTAGGTCATTTTAGATGTCTTCAAAAGGTCAACGATTCATACTTTTCTCTCTGCCTTTGTAAAATGCAGTAGTATGTTAATGCAAAAGATTTTGAATGTTTCCAAACGTACCTTTCTTTCACAGCTATTGGATGGTTTCCGCTTCTCCAATTCAGCTATGTGATCTAGAGGCAGCATCTAACATGCTTATTTGTTCTCTAATGGCTGTTGGAATCTCATAATATATTTTGGGAAATCATTATGCTTTTCAGGGCAGAAGACAGTGACCATCCCACTTACTGAAATTTTGCATAGTTTGTTGCAGTGGAACTGGTTTGTTTCAGTGGAATTGATTATAACGTTGACTAATGCTCAGAACAAGAACCTACCTTAAACTACAAATTAGTTTATGAAACGTCTAAGTTTTCTTTAATAGTAAACAGAAGGTATGATTAACATACTTACTGTTAACATAAGGTATGATTAAAAAAACAACCTATGAATTTATAATTTGTTAAATGTGTTTTTAATATGATTAAAATGTGGGCATTTTTTCTTACTTTTGCAAAGTTGTCTTTAAAAATAAAATAAAACCCATTTTGCAAACTGCATTGGGCTTGCCACAAAATAAAATGTCCAGTCTGGTCACCGTTGATGCCTCTGACAAGGTAAACGTTATAATCACCAACTTGAAGCTCAAGAATGTATTCTGATTGCAACATCTCTGTGAACAGTTCTGGTTGCCACATCTCAAAAAGAATATTGTAGAGCTGGAAAAGGTGCAGAAAAGAGCAACTAAAATGAACAAGGGGCTGGACAAACTCCCTATAATGAAAGCATACAACATCTTGGGTTTGGGGAAGAGGTGGGAGGCTTGTTAGATGTGTATAACATTATTATTGACATATGTGAAAAAGGTGGAGAAAGAGAAGTTCTCTCTCATAATGCCTGGAGTTATCCAATGAATCTGAAGAGTAGAAGATCTAGGACAGACAATGGGCAGTACTTCTTCACACGGCGCATAGTTAAATAGTGGAATTTGCTATGTGTGGTTCTGCCCACCACCTTAGATGGCTTTAAAATGGGAATAAGAAAAATGATGGAGGACAACAAGGGTTATCAATTGAGAATAGTCATGATGGCTATTTGTTACCTTCAGACAGCCTGCCAGTATCATGAACGTGGTTTCAAGTCTGCTTGTTTCCTAAAGCATAGATAATGCTAACCACATTCTGCCTGCGTTTAGACAAAACAGGTAACCAGTGTAAGTTAAAAAGAGCTGCACCCAAGGAGGAGGCCAGAGGGCAGGAGCCCATGACTCATGTATGTAATGTCAACCCATAATTTAACATTACATAGGGGCTTGTGACTGGACCTCAATCAGCCATGTTTTCTTAGCCTAGTTCAATCTGATATACTCTATGTGTGTTGCACCTGTCATATTTTATTTTTGTTTCATCCATCTCATTACACTTTTCTTCTTAAGGTGAAACAGTGTTGTGCTAGCTAATGAAAATAATGTGCTTTTCTAACATGTCACTACATTTGGTAATATTTATGTTTTATGGTTTATTAGCTTCCCACTTCCAAATAATATGTTTCTTTTATCTCTTGCTTCCACAAAGCATGTGTGAGTTTGTACTCGGCATATGTTGAATAAAAAATTGCCTGCTTCTAAATGTAATTATTTATGATAAGCCTATAATAATTAAAAGGACTAAATGTATATTGCATATGCTATTGCTATAAGAATGTTTGTGCAAATTTTTTTTCAACATTTCCTTTTGTGAATTATGTTCACAGGGCGCAGCTTTAATTCGAATGCTGGCTAATTTTATGGGTCACTCAGTGTTTCAGATGGGCCTACAAGTACGTAGAAAACATTCCTTCTTTTCTTGTGTGCTTGCATTTCTGCCATTGTGTTTTTGTTGCATATATTTCTGTTAGTTTTTGAAACTACAGCTGTTGCATTGCCGATATATATTTAAGACAAGCTTTAGCAGGAAAAAATAGATAGTGCAGTGTAAAACCTTGTGCCATTTAAGAAAATAAAGGTGCCTTCCGCCATTTTGTTAGATGGCGGCTCTTTTGAATCCATTTGTGAATCCATCATGAACTTGCACCTTTTTTGAGAAATATTGCTATCTTCACTGATATATATATATATATATATATATATATATATATGTTTAAGTGATTTCAGAAGGAATGGAGTTAGATTTTTAAAGTACAAAAGCAATGAAAACTCAAGCTATATTTTTTTAAAACTATCATAATATTGTGAAGAAATAGTTCTCTCTCATCAAAACCCTTTTGCTTTTGATTAGCATGATTTCTTCATTGCCTTAAAGATATTTTGGAAACTCATTTTGCGTTTAACAGTAAATTAATGGCCAGCACATCTGGATGAAATTTTGAATGGCGTGAATGTTAGCTTGCGCTTTGCCAAGGATAAAGTCTTTCCAAGAACAATTCCAAGTAAATTAAAGTTTCCAAAACAATTTAAAAGCAAACAAGCCAATGCAGAAAAACAATGCAACTCCCTTTATTCCATTGAAATCTGTTTAAGTAAATCATGTAACAGGCAGCTGTGATTGATGAATTATGTATGATGCAGTCTGTTACTTAGAGGTGTCCTTTAAAGTAAATTGATGTTCACCTGAAATACAATTATGCTAAAATGGAAGGAGCAATCAATCTTATCTGTTCTTAGTAAGCTTTTCAATCTGAAATTTAAATAAACTACATCTGGGATCAGGTCATATTTTAACATGGTAATTCTATCTTCAACCCTGTAGACTGGAAGGTAAAATAGAAAACAAAAGTTAAATAAGCATACCATCTGTACCATATAAAGATGTGTGTAATATGGCAATGACTGAAATAATATCAGAGTACTTTTTCTCTCTCCCAGAAATTTGGCAGGATTTTGATTGGTGGTGTTTTGAAATAGAGTTTTGTTGAATTGCCTCCAAACATCTGGTTTTCTTGTTTCTATAATATGTATGCATATAGACCTTTCTTTTTAGGCTTGCTTGCCTCAGGGGAAGGGAACCCACCAGAAACTTGTGTGCAGGAACTTAAAAATGGTTAATATACCCATTCTAAACTAATCATGTTTACCTGTATTTTGGTTTTAGTATTGTTATGCTTTTCTTGATGTTCTTGTTGCTATTGATACTGCTGTTTTTACTGTTAAATTGGGAATATATGGCAGTTTATGGTTACATTTGAGTGTTGGTTGGATATTCCGTGTCTTTTTAGTACACTGGAAGCCACCTTGAAAGACCTGGTGCTAAAAATGTCCAAAAACGTATTAAATAAATAAATGGAAATGACTACCTGAAGAAATAGAAGGTAGAAATAGACAGTTAGTATGACTTCATAGCACTGGGGGGCTGAGGTTCAAATGTCCCCTACCTACAAATCTCAGCAGGTAAACTTTTATGTCACCATGTCTCATTTTATGTCACTATGTCTCACCCTAACCCTAGTCCAACTGTTGCTGTGATGGTAGAACCCATGAACATCATTTTCAAGTATTTGGAGGTTGTCATAATTAATAACACCATACTTTTCCATGTATAAGACGAGGTTTTTTAATTTAAAAATTATGTTGAGGGTTGTCTTATACACGGATAGTGCATGGGGGGGGGCGTGGGATTGGTTGCTGCCAAGAGCAGGAGATTGTGAGCGGTGATTGGGCACGCTATTGGTGGCTGAGGCAAGGGCTGGTGTCGATTGGCTGTCACTGCGGCAATTGGGCGGGTGATTGTTGGCTTCTGTTGGCGAGGGGACAGACGATAGGTGGCTTTGGCGATGCTTGCGAGTGGCAGCATAGGTCAGGCGGGTGAGTGATTTTTGGCAATCCCCCCTAAAAAGCTCCACAACTCTGGGCCATCCCCCACCCTCCAAAGCTCAACAACTCTCAACAATCTCCCCCCATTTTCTAAATTTGGAGTCCCCCCAAAACAGGGGGCGTCTTATACATGGGAGCGTGTTATACATGGGAAAATATGGTAATTCCCATCATGCATTTTGTATGTTTTATATTTATATCCCACTTTTCTTGTACAGAGTTCTCATCCTCCCCATTTTAGCCTTACAACAAACTTGTGAAGTTAAGCTAGTGGCTGAGCTTCATGACTGAGTTGGGATTTTGGCCCTGGTCTCCCAGTTCCTAGTCCAGCATTCATCACTGCATTAAGCTGTTTCTGCAGTGCCTATTTCTGGTAGAAGTTTTAAAAGTAATATGGCAGCTGATGGGGGTGGGTGGAATGGGGAAATGGTTAGCATTCTTCTAAAGCCCTCCTTACATCACTGTAAATGGATGTCTATATCAAACCATTAGGGGAAAGTTTTTCTCTCTCCTGGCTGACAGCCATTGACTGATGTGTGACGATTTCATTTAAAATAGTTTTGTTTGTGGTTATTCCTTACATGAACTGACATTGGTAGAGTTCAGTTTGGATAACTTGGCCTGTTTTTAAGAATGAAGTATCCTAGTAAAATAGTGTGTGTGTGTGTGTGTGTGTGTGTGTGTGTGTGTGTGTGTGTGAATAAACACATTGTTTTTACCCATACATTTTTAAAGAAAACTCAGTTTCTATATTCATGTTGCGCTTTGGGCGTGGGTTGTAACTATAGTGTTGAAGATCAAATATACCTTAGTATGGCTTTGTTTAAAGAGGTATGTGCTGTCATATCCAGCCCTAAGGGGATAGCTAGCTTAGAGTCCATTTTGCATGATTTGATTATTCTTAGACCAATGTGTATTTCTGTGAGTTTGTCTACATTACATTTCATTTGCCATTTGGCAGCTCATTGATCACACAGATCTGTATCCTTTTGAACTTCAGTTGCTGCTATATTTGTGTTCATCACTCACTTTGATTTAGTGCATCATCAGCAGTTTGCATTAGTTTACTGTGGGATCTCCTGTCTCTGTGATAAATTAACATCTTTTGTGGTTTTGGTTGTACTGTATACATCATGCCAAGGACCTTTTATCCACTCTACTAGACAGACACTTAAAGCTGAGAGGCCCTTTAAATGTTAGCCTAGCTGCCTGGGAAGTATTTTTAAGGAATGCCACCCAAGTTGGCTGGGAAAATATGTAATTTATAAAACCACATGAGTTTATCACATGAATCTTTCTCACAGAACTGACCCATATATGCTTAGGACTTTCCAAGATACACCCCACACAAACACTCCCAGTTATGTGGTTGGGTTTACTTATTTGTTTATTCTCACACGTTGCCTCAAGGTACCTTACAATACTAATTTAATGAAACCCCTAAATAAAAGATAAAACCCATAAAAGCAGCGGGAAAACACTCACACCTAAACAGTAAAATAAATAGCAGGTAAAGCCAAAAATCAATAAAATCAACAGAGAATTTTCAAGTATTAAAAACAATTAGAGGCAGGAGACATCACAGGATATACCTTAGCTGATGTTTGTAAAACGGTGAAGAGGATGCTCAGGATTGTCCATGGATACTCCTAGATCAGATTACAAGTGAAGATAGTTAGTTGTCATGATACCACCCAGTTCCTATGTTCTAAAACAGCATAGAAAACATGCCACAGCACTAAGTTAAAATCCCCTGCCATCACCTTTTGGAATCTGACATTTTCATAAGAGTGAAACAATGAGCACAGTGTTCCCAGTCCCCATCTCTATCAGCTGGTTCACAAGAATTTAGTGGCCTGGGATACTGAAAGCCAGTGTTCAGCTGGACTCATTTTGAGTTTCATTCCATTTGTGTTCCTCCTGTCTCCTCAACTGCTTCATTAACACCCCCCAATCCGTCCAGACCTACTGGGATGCGCAGGTGTCCCTTTGAGGATTGCCAGAGTGCCTTCCTGGAAGGCTTTCTAGCAATCATTGTGGGGAGCGTGTAGGGCAAAAATCGCCCTCCAAGCCTCCAACCCCCACCCAGTGGGTCAGCCGAGGAGAGGGGCGGCCACCCTGCTGCGACGCTCCTGCTTCTTTCTGCCTCCTGGGTCAGAACTGATGCAGGAGCAGAGCTGTGGCTGGGCTGCCACACAGGCCTGTGCAGGAGAGGGGTAGCAGCACAGCAGTGCTGCCCCTCCTCCACTCCACCCCCAGGTCAGACCTGACTCCTTTTTTCCATCATAAACTAGTACTTACTCTCTACTGGTGCAGGAATGTGCACGGACATTGCAGCAATTAACTAGTCCCTCAACCAAATGCAAACAGGAAGAAATAAGGCTAGATTACTTGGAGGAAATCAGCGTTGCACATAACAAAATATTATTTATTTTGCTTCCTGGAAACCACTGCTTGGGTCTTTAAAACACGCATGATATATTAATTTTCCTTGAGTCTGCTTTTTTCCTATCCATTGGTAGGCACTTTAGTTTTTTGGGGGTGGTCTATAGCTAAATTGAAAATATTCTGTACATTTCCTGCACATTTCTCTCTCACACACTCTGTCTCTTTCTGTTTGTGTATTCTTGCCTGGATTTTCAATAATGCATGATAATCTATTAAGATATCCAATTGCTTGTTAAGATCTGTCTAGTAATACTTGAAACTGAGGCTGATTAAAAAAAGTCCTGGGTGGTTGGGCAGAGTGCACTGCATGGCAGGTTTTCATCTTATTTCAATAAGAAAAATTAATAAATCATTTTTTTTCCTGCTCTGTTTCTTAGAGACATTACCACTATATGAGAAGGAATATAATATCTTTGTTTCTAATAGTTCAGCTGATTTATTCTTTGTCCCATGGCTACTATACAACGTGTACTATATGCTTCGTCTCTTCTCAGTCTGCTTGACCCTAGAATTGTACATGCTGCTTACTTGAAGATATAAGTTTTTGTATAAAGTGGTGTTC